AGGAGCAGCAGCCTCCTCGCGGTGTCAGACACAATTTGCTGCGCTGCCTCTAACGCTGGATTTGACACACGGCCCTTTCGGTGGCAGCAATGAGAATTTTGTCATCTCTTCTTGAGTGCCAACTCGATGTCCAATTATGCCCCCGCGACTAATTTAATTACAGTAGCAGAAGAAATGGGGCTGATTCAATTCAATTCAATTAAGCCCGATTGAACCAGTCAGATCAGATTTTACTCATCTCAGGTACAAGCGGCCTGTCACTTTTTATCTTCAGCTGCCTCAGCTGAAGCAAGACAAACAGGTCTTGATATGATAACTTAAAATTTAGGGCTGAGTTCACTCAGACAGACTCGCATCCCCCCTTAATTGCTGATTCTGGGATACGTGTGAGAGTAAAACACACCACTTTCAGAGCAGGATCGGAGCCAGTTACCACTTAGTAGACTCCCCGCTACAATGGTCATTACTAATGCATGATGTGTCACAATTATGTATCAAATTGTGTGTGTCCATGTGTGTGTGTGAGTGTTTATGTCTGCTTTACATATTTAACTAATTGACAAACACAGTTCAAAGGTAGAAACACTAAAAGGAGAAAAAAAGGTGTCATTCAGTTAAGTGGCCAGATTTCATTTCTGTCTCACAGAGCGGATTTTAGAACACTTAACATTTTAAAATGTGTTATGACTGTAAAACTAAGGTGTTTTCTGAGAGTTGTGTGAACTCTAAAATAGACTTTTAAAAGCAGTAAAATAAAAAAAACATACTTCAGTGATTTTGTTTTTTGTTTTTTTTGTTTTTTTATTGTGGTTTGATAAGGAAAATCCCAACAATTTAGTATGGCATTGGGAATACTATGGATTAGTAGAGGTGCTATTTGTTATATGATAGGATAAAAAAATGGGAATGTCAACATGGTGAGATGGGCAATAAACCAAACATGCTATCAATAAAGTATAGCTTAGATTTTATGAGGAAACATAAAGTCTAATGAGTTATGACTGACACTGTCATAGTCAAGCATAGTCATCCAAACAATGGACAAATAAAATACTGGTAAAATACCACATTCTGAGATACTGAAATGTCCAAGTAATGGGAGAAAAAAAACTTCCAGCTTGTGTGTGATTGGTGCAGATGAAGCCTGGGGAGTGCGCCATAGGCTGCTACTGTAGCCTGCAGTGAGTGGAAAAGGCGTCCTGGCACCAGTTGCGGAGCCGCAAAGATCTCTGATTGGACGCTGACGGTCGCCTTTTTTTTTTCTTTCTCTCCGTTTTTTTTTTTCTTCAACCGGCACTACCTCAGCGGTCTTAACCAAACGGCTTTCCAAATCAGAGGACACGCGCGTAACAACCACGGCGTGGCACATTTGTTTTAAGACATATAACAGACACTCAGAAATTCTTATCTTATTCTTACTGTAAACGGACGCACTGCGATATAAGAAAAAAAAAGACTAATGGAATCAAACTTGATTTACCTCTTGGAGTCTTCGTCTCTGTCGGGCCTCCTTTCACGGTATCCGCCTGGCAGGAGAATGCAGGCTTTTGAGAGGAGAGGAGAGGTGAGGAGGAGAGGAAAGGAGAGGAGTTACAAGTCTGCCGATGCAATTCATGATGCAGAGAGGGCCAAGCCGAGCAGTCTTTTCCTTACCTTACCCCACAGATCCAGAGGGGGTGAAATGGGTATAAAGAAAAAAAAAAAAGAAGAGGAAAAAAACGGTTGTTTGGGTGATTACACGTTCCTCCTCTCCCTCCCTCCCCCCTTCAGTCCACTCCACTCCGCTCCAGCAGCGGTGCGCGCCCCTCTCTGGCCCCGTTAGAACAGCCCATGTGGGGCTAAAGCCGCGT